TTTATCGGTTTCGTTTTGGTTTTTTTCTTTAAGCGAGACTAAGAAGCTTCGGCTCTCCCGCTCCAAGGCCAAGTGGACTTGGCCGATGAACGCCTGTTCACGGGCTCAGTGCCTCAGCCTGAGGACTGGCTGAGGCTGTGGCGGTGGGCCAAGGGACACAGCAGCAACAGGACTTGCTCTCAGTTCAGCTTGACAGAGGACTTTCTCACCTCAACCAGGACAGGCCTAGACGCCAAGTGCACGGAGCGGCGGGCTATTGGGCACATGAGGCAGATCCTTGCGGAGACCATTCGGGAGGAGAAGCGCAGTGCCCTTCGCGAGGCCTCCAGCATCTCCATTTCGCTGGATGACAAAAGGCCTTTCACGCTCCTCCTCTTCAAGGCCGTGGTTCCCGAGCGTGGCCCAGGCCTCTGTGTCAAGGACTGCCTGGTCAGCGGCATTTTGGTCGTTCTAAAAACCACGGACAGCATGGACATGGCGGCCGTGGACGATGACTATGCCCTGCGTCAGCGGGATGCAATTCTCGCAGGCCTTAAGGACTTCTGCACTCCATTGGGGGGAACATTTGATGAGGAACTCCATCAGCGCTTGCTTGCAAAGTGGCACACTGTAGTTGTGGATGCGGCTCTCATCAAGACGGCCGAGGTCTTAAAGAAGAGTGTTCCGGGCCTGTTTCTAGTGCCCTGGCAGTCAGAAGGGCCAAAGCAGAGTCATGATAGGTATGGTTCTGGCCGGATTTACAGGGTCCGAAAGGTGTTGGTTTCTGATCCTGTCCAGGTTCACAGGGACCCCACGCATGCAATCCGCCTGGCAGCAACCGGGCCTGAGCGCGCAGAGGCCCGCTTCAGGCAATGCTGGGAGATACTCTTCAAGGGCAAAGGGTCCCTCGTGCCGGACATTTCCAACAGCGTCGCCGCTGGATGAATGAGTGATTTTAAGTTTCTATCCTATCCAAGCGTAGACATGGTGTTAGTCACAGGTAACCCGCTTGAATGGACTAAATGAAGTGTCGCTGCCTGTCCCCTCAATGTCAAGATGTATACCCAAACAACTAATGTGTCACCAGCAAGATGTAGAGAGACTTGAGCAGATTCATGTGTGATGCCTTGAGCTGAGGAATGGCAGGCCAAATTGGCCGCACTTCAGAAGCGATTTCAGGACTGTCAAAGTGGACGGCTGGCCCCAATCGTTTCCAACATTCTGCGGAAGTTCTCCTTTGCTCCGCATCGATGGGAGAGCACCTGCGATCCAAAACGAAGGTTCATCATTCTCCTCGGACCAGTTCTGGTCTTGCTAGCAATCAAGGCCAGCGATGCCCGGCTTCAGGCCCAGGACCGCCGTGCTGCAATGGCAATTTTGCAGCAGATCACACCTGAGCTTGTGCTCACAGCTGGACTATCGTCGGACTACGCAGAGGAATGTATGCGCCTGACCAGGCATTTCGATTGCTCCAATCAGGACCCAGCCAGGGCCCGACGGACCCTCGAGGACTTCGAGCACCGAATGAAGGCCTTGTTTCATGAAGCATGCATCTTGGACGAGGTCCCGGGCACGGTGCAGAGCAGCACTCACATCGCTGTGGTGACAGCGAAGGCCCTCCCACCTATCTACGTGAATGACAAGGAGATCAGAGTCTGGCCAAGGGACGCCAAAGTGCAGGCTTCGGAGGTCTTTCAATCGATGCATGCGGTCGTGGACTTGACACTTGCACGGGTCGCGGCCGAAGTCCCTCCTGATGGACTCTTCAATGACCTCAGCGTCTTCGATTTGGCCTCATATAAAGAGGCCTTGGCATCGTCGAAACTGGAGGAGTACAAGCGCAAGTGTGGGACGCGGCTGCGGCGACTGAGTCTGGGCAGTAAATTAAGCATCAGGCAAAGGGCAGCCGGAAAGAGTGGGTGTGATTTCCTCTTTGAAAGACCCGGGTTGGTTGATGCTCACTTTCAGATGCAAGCTTGATATTTAAAAAACAGAACCCTACGGACTGGGTCTCTCTTCAAGTGTGGCTCCTCACCAACCCTTATTGCGAACCTTTTAACAAAATGATGTTCGGGCTTTTGTCCGGGATTGCCAAGTGTACAAGTTGTCTAAGAATGCTTTCTCATTTCACACATAATACGGGAATCGAAGTAACATTCACTTGTTCTGTGTTGCTTGGTGAAGCTGAGGAGCGCTGCGCTCAAGGTCAATCCAAAGGCCTCCACTGAACAGTTTTTTTCGGTACTTCCAGGGTTATATGCCGCTTGGATTTCAAGAGCATCTTGTGTTTTCATGGCTTGTGTTTTTTTTATAGGCCTGCAGGCTGTGTGGGTAGCGGGACTGAAGCACCAAGGAAGTGCACCGAAGGAAGGTGGACACGGCCTTTGACAACCGAGATGCTTGGGCAGTGGTCTTGGACAACGGCTTTTGTGAAGGACGCCCCGGCCACCTGGCCGAGCTGAAGGCCATTTGCTGCTTTTATTTGGCCTTCGAGGCCTCTACTGGGGACTGCGAGAGGGCCTTGGCCATCATCAAAGCGGGCCATGAGGCCCACAGGTCCGAGGCCAAGGACGTCGTGTGGGAGACGGCTGAGATAAGCATGGATGGTCCGTCGGACGAGGGCAGCATGTTCCAAAAGCGTGTAGTGACGGAAGGGAACGACAAGAAGGTCCACCTGCTGGTGACGCCGTTTTCCCGCCGTCTTCAAGGGCATTGGCTCACTCGTCACGGCCGCAGGTTCCATGTTTACAAGCGCCGAAAGGACCTTGGCCAGGCCAAAGGGCATCAGAAGGGGTCTGAGGCCGGCCTTCGGACCAAGCAAGGCCTGACTAGGACGGCCTTGTCCCAGAAGAAGGGCAAGGACAAGGCCTTGTTGGGCAAAAGCAACCGGCATTTCCGTCAGGACCCTCAGAAGAGGATGGACAAATCCTCGGTCTGGAACGCCCAAATGGACAAGCAACGTCGCCTGATACAGCTCCGCAAGATGCAGCGAAGGACAATGGCCGCAGGAAGGACACCCATGCAGCCGATCAGCGAGCGTCGAGGCCAGGTCTTTGGCGCAGATGCCGGTGGGGCATCGGCCGCAGCCGCCCGCTCCGTGCGAGACAGGTTGGCCAATTCGTCTGCGGTGAGTGTGCTGAATGCCTCAAAGAATGATGTGCTCATCAACAGCGAGAGGCGCAATGCAATTACCACATGGGACCCGGCCAGCAAGATGACGACTTGGTTGCCGCAACTGAAAGCTGCGCAGATCGTGGTCCTGGACTCGGTCACCGACTTGCTCTTTTCCCATGGCCGTGGGAGACTTGGTTGATTCAGATAGCTTTTGAGGCCAAGTTTTTGGACGATTGAAAATTAGGTACTAGACCTATTCCAGCAGATCTAGGAAACACTTCGTCAAGTTGGCGCTCGCCCTGGTGTTTTTGGGCAAACCTGTGGTGGAACGCAGGGCCTTCGAGAGCTGCAAGGGAGTTTTTCGTGGGATTCCTTCGCAGGCTTTCACAAAGCACTTGCCGGCCAGCGAGGCCAAGGTCTTTATCACTATTTCAAATGATTTCAAGGACTCACATCACTGTGCTAACCAGCTTTTAACATCCTTGTGCAGCTACAAGGGCTCACAATGGAAATTAAGGACTAGGACTGAAAACACTGTCAAAAAACGACGGTGTCAGGGGGAGGAAGTCCAAATTACCAGTTTGACAAAACTGTCAAACTTCGTACGCACAGTTCGTCGGGTCTCAAGGGGTACCGGGGTAGGGTGTGAGCCGCTGAAGGCGTTGGCGCGATGATGGCCAAAAAGTCCTGGAAGGGCGGCGCAAGTTTCAGTGCGGCATGCTGTGATTTAGCAGAATTGTTCCCGATTTAAGTCTTGTCTTAGTAGCAATACCCAGGGTTTCGGCGAAACCCAACCTCTACCCTGCCCTTCAAAGAATTAGGCATTCGCACGTGACAAATTCAAAGTACTTTGCTGCGCAGGCGCCGGGGCACTCGAATGCCAAACATGAGGTCGGCGCCGCATTCAGGCTTGGGGTTTGGATTCGCGTATTTCTGTGATCATAGTGTTCCTGATGTGGCCTCGGCTTTAAGGTCTCCGGGCAAGGTGTTTGCAGTCTAAGTTGCTTGGACTTCATTGCTTGGACATTGAGAGGGTTGAGTGATGAGGGCTAGGGTCGAGAGGCATGTCTAGGGTCTGGGAAGTCGGGAGCCGGAAACCGCAGCCCATCAAATGAAGTGGACATATCATTTTAAATGAATCGATTTGCTAAGTATATCTCATGGACTAGGTGAAGTAATGGTCGCAGAGGCCCCGGGACGAAGATCTCAAACAAATGCAGCCTGACCAGGCTTTGTCATGTAGTTTTGGTTGAAGATTATTGAATTGAGTTAGTCGCTTCAAGGTCGAGCTTCAATTCTGTAGCGAGCTCAAAGACCGAGCTCTAGCGAGTCACACAGTTTGGGTGTCTCACTGTTGTGGGTTGCTTCGTTCTCTTGAGTTGTGGCTGCCCTCGCTTGGAGCCTAAGAAGCCCTAAGCCTTGAACCCCAACACCCTCGTCAAGGGCACGGACCTGCTGCTGCCCTCGACCTCTGAGGCCCTGGAGGTGTTTAGGTTGGGGTTTAGCCGAAGTGAAGCCCTATGAACCCCTTTATTTAATTACGGGGTTTTCGAATTCGAAGGTTGAGCCTTGGCAAGGCTTCGAGGGTTTAGTGACACTCAAGGGCTACAATCTGTGGTGACCCTAAAACCCTAAAAACCCTAAAAACCCAAAACACCCTTAAACCCTACACCCTAAACTCTAAACCCTAAACCCTAAACCCTAAACCCTAAACCGAAACCCTAAACTTTAAACCCTAAACCCTAAACTTTAAACCCTAAACCCTAAACCCTAAACCCTAAACCCTAAACCCTAAACCCTAAACCCTAAACCCTAAACCCTAAACCCTAAACCCTAAACCCTAAACCCTAAACCCTAAACCCTAAACCCTAAACCCTAAACCCTAAACTCAACGACTGTTCGCAGCG